AGTTATACTCTTCAGTAGAATTCTTTTCAGTAGATAGTACCTTATCAAGTTATTCAGTAGATAGTACCTTATCAAGTTATTCAGTAGATAGTACCTTATCAAGTTATTCAGTAGGTAGTACCTTATCAAGTTATTCAGTAGATAGTACCTTATCTAGCAAGTTATAACTTTTTTAACTTTCTTATAAAAAAGTGAGCATGTAATGCCTAAGGTAAAAGGTAAAAATAATGTTGTAAACATTATTTTTATCTAGTCTATGTACTCCACCAAAATTTGTTCTGCAATTCTCAGAACAAAAAGCAGCTAATTTTTTATTAACTTTATTACGCTGCAATGTTGAAGTTTTTTGGCTGATAACTTATCAGCCAAAATTTTAAATGTTTCACCGTCAACAGATTCAAAATCCAAAAGTTTTACTTTGACACCTTCCAGCGGTAAAAAGTACCTAACAACAACTGGTGATAGTTTTACTTCTCTTCTATTTGATGTGTCATTAGAAACACTTACAATATTTGAGTCATTATGTAACTCTTTTTACAGATAAAGTTGCCAGAACATTTAAAATTATTGCTTGATATTTGGTTCTTGCTGCACCGAATTTCGGTTTAAAAACTTTAAGACCCAATTATGAACTACAGTCAGATGTTTTGAAGCTCAAATCACGGGTTGCTGTGTGAATGGCAAATGTAGCCTCCTTTACAATGGTATCTTTTTTGTATGGTTAAATCAAAGAGAAAAAAATAAGAATGAAATATTAGGCATAAGTAAGAATTTAGGATCAAGTGCGCAGATTATTTCAATAGTTTCAATATTTCAATTATTTCAGGGTATTTATTTTCTGGTGTGTGTGTGTGTGTGGGGGGGGGGGGGATGCATATCTTTATCCCCCCCCCCCTAGATCCGTCACTGTTATAGATAATTGTACCTAATGCTATACAAATGGCGGTACTAAGAATTCTTTTTTTAAATACAGTAGCAAAAATACAAAAATTCAAAAACAAAACAGTTTAAGTAAAACAGAATTGTTATTATTAGAAAAGTTATATCATATATAAAACGTTATATAAGGGATCGTCCATAAATTACACAACGCAAAATATATTTTAAAAATATAAGTAGGAGATAATAAGCTCTTTGACGCGGCAATTTTCATAAAAATTAATGGACTATTTTGATTTTTTATATAAATTTAGACTTTTTTATATAAATTTAGGAAAAACTTTAAATCTTTTTTGTTTTGTTTATTTTGAAAGTTTGCAGCATATTAGGGCTAATTACTTAAGCTCATTAATAACATAAGAATCTTGACAATCATAAGTGTCATTTGCTCAACCAAGTTCTTCCAGAATTTTGATGTTTTTAGAAATTTAAGGCTTTTAAAAAATTATTTTCCTTTCGTTTGGTTATGGCATATAATATCTTTATATATGTTATGTATATAAAATCAAAAGTGTTTTACTTCGTATTTCAAAAAATCAAAAAAAAAGTTTAAATAATTAAAAAAAAGTGCCACTGATAGGAGGACTTTTGTTTACATTGTCTAATAAAAAAAAAAGTGCTGCGACTCTCTTTCGCCATTTTCTCGGTTGCAACGGCTGTAAAGGATTCCGAGTCAAACATACTTTATAGGGTAATACTACTAATAAAACTGAAACATTTAGGTTCGGCGTTAATGTAAAAAGAAGATAATGCATTGTTTTAGATTTTACTTTCATAACTTTTGTTAGGAAATAACAACTCTAAAAAATATTTTATGGTTAACTTTTATTACAAGTTTGCATTTTATATTTACGCTTAAGGTGTTTTCAAACTCAAACTAGTAAACACTGACTCATTACTTGCTGTTAATTTTCTAAGTGTGATTTTTCATTTGTGCGATTTGTTTCGCGCGATTAATTTTTGTTTAATCTATTAAAATTTCAATTTAAATCAAAAGTTAACGAAGCTATCAATAAATAAGTATGTTGTAGATTTGAATGGCTTTTTTAGTACTATTATGTTTAGTATATCTTATACTTATTATCTTATTTACTTTTTGTGTCTGTACTGTTTGTTAGCTACACGTTAAATTTTGTACTGTTTTTTAGCTACACGTTAAGTTTTGTGCACTTTCTTGTGACCGTAAATAAGATTTAGATGGTATAGTCAGCTGAATAAACGTTCTGCAAAATAAACGTTCAGCAAAATAAACGATTTACAAAATAAACGTTCTGCAGATGCACGAGAAATAAACAATATCAAAGTATATTTTATACAGTACTGAGATATTTGAATTTATGTCACAGAGACCATTAGTTTTAGAACACTCTTCTGTGTCCAAAGAAAAAATTTTAGAACATCCCTTCTGTGTTGATTTCTTTACAAAGATTTTTAAATGAAAAAGTTCTTAAGCGACATTATTCAAAGTTTTAATATCTCTTGGATATCTGAGAGAAGTTTGATTAGTTCTAAACTATCCCCATCCTAATAATTCTTTAGTTCTAGACATTTGATTATTAAAGCGATTATTAAAGCTTCATGAACTGTTAAAAAAAATTTTTTATTGTAGCTACCAAAGAGTCTAGTGAGACCAGGTAAGTATCAACAAAAAAGTTCTTTCTACCAGCTTCTTTTCTTTCATCAAGTCCAAGCTTTTCCTCCCTTTTCCGTTAATTAGCTGTTATTATGATGCATTTTAAAGCACAGTTGTGGGTGTTTTTTTCCAGTTCCTGGTTTCATTGGATTTTCTGACATTCTTAAGTTCAGATTCGAAAATTTTAAAATAACTTGAAGCAACAACCATATAGAATTCTATAGAATTTATTGGCAAGTATTGAGAAATTATAAAATTGCTTTTAAAGCTTACTAACATTCTGCTTTAAACATTCTTAATGTCTTATAATGGAATGACTAAGATAAAAGACATTGCGATCACTTTGATTGACATGCTGTTCTAATACGTCATATTTTGCAAGAAGATTCGTGAAGAAATAATCTTTATTACCGGATCCCTTGCCACAAAATTTTTGATGTCCACGGAAAGCCAATATTTGTTTGCTTAAAAACAATACCCCATTTATAATAGTTTTTTAAACCTTCCTGTTTTTTTTCAAGTGTTCGATCTAAGGCCACAAACTCAGCCAAAACCGTTTTGTCGTTAAAACTTTATTAGAAAAAGTCTCATTGTTTTTTTTAGAGATTTTTGACAATTTGCCATTCTCAATTTTGGAGACCTCTGTAGATAAATTTTGAAGTGTATTTTTGAAAAGCCAGCAAACAAAAAAAAAAAAACAACATAGCGTTAACTTTTGTGGAATAAATCAACCAGTGACAAATGTTTCTCTTCTCGTGAACTAAAATTATTTTTCTACCATGTTGGACTGAAGTGTCGTCCTTTATCAGCTTTTGTAAAAGCATTAAAAAGTTACTATTTATGACTTGCACAAGCCGTTTTGTAGTAAGCTTCTAATAAGCTAATGTTATGCTTTGATAACAAAATAATTGATGAACTGTTGGGTAGCTTATTATTGAAAATTATTAACTAAAGTGAAAGGTGTATGTGACGTATATGAGAAGTATATGAGAAGTATATATTATCAATTTGAACTGAAATGCTACTGTTGGCTTTCAATTAACATCTTTTTCAGGTTGTGAGTAACTTTATCCATCAACAACATAGAGTCTTTAGGATAAAATATTTTTATTGTTCCGTTGATCTTAGCTAACATTAGTCTATTGTTATCTTTATAATTACCATCAGCGACTCTTGGAGAGGAAGTCTACTTCTCAAAAATTACACACTCAGAAGTCCCTATCTCACAACTCAAAAGAGGTTTGGTTGGCCTGCAATATTCTAGGAGGACAATCAGCAGTTAAGAGCGATAATGCAAAATTGCTAATTTTTTCCCTTTCTTTTAATTTTTGTTATAGGTGCTCTAAGAAGATCTAACGGTCTTGTCACATAGCACTACAGAAGAAAATTTAATTAGTTCACGACTTCTTCCTTACCGACGGCGCGAAAATATGCCAAGTGCTTGCTTCAAACCCTAAATCTCTTGTTTCTAAAGCAAGCGCTCTTCCCACTGCGTCACAACCGTTTTATTTCTTGACATTTCTTGAACTTTCAGAGTTTCTATAACACGTTTGAAAAAATTTAAAAACTAGCATAGCTTTTTTTGGTATTTTTTCCCAACATTCTGTGTCTTTTACTTTTTACATTGGTTACCAGACTGCTTTTTAGAACTTAACGACATGTTTTATACGTCTTTTACAATTTGTTTCATTATATTTACAATTAAGTGAAATTAATTCACACCATTCGCTTTGTATTATCACCTATATACAGAGCTTTAAAATTCAAAATGATTGACCGTATTGATTCCATACGGTCTTAACGAATCTACTTTGTTTAATGTGCTCCGAACGTACGGTATTTTTACAGATACGTACATAACAGACCTATATAAAGATTTAAGTACCCATTTATTTATAATATAGTTCCTGACCGAGGTACTCAGTAAATACGTGATTGCCCCATATTAAGATCTAAACAATACATAGTTGAGTTAACCACTGACTAATCTTTGCGACTGCCCAAGAGCGTAAAAAAAAATTATTATCATTATAAGTTAATATAATTTACTTTAATTTCCATTTGACCTAAAATTAAATTTTTGAAAAGAGCTTGAAACTTTCTTATTTATAATTTATTTTATTAAGGCACTTTCATTGAAAGTGCCTTAATAAAATAACAAAAAAGTGTTCTCAAAAATTTTTAAACTTTTTATTAGTTGATTATTTTATAAAAATCATAAAATATTAGTAATAAATATTAGTATAAATATTAGTAAATAAATAGTAATAATAAATATTAGTAAATAAATAGTAATAAATATTAGTATAAAATAATATAGTTATAAAATATGATTGTATGTTTGCACAGTTTTTTTCATACATAAATACAAATTGCTTATAGCATAATTTGTTTTTTTAATGTCACAATTTTTTAATCTATTTTATTT